TTGACAAGAATAATTATGGTAAAACCATGTTGTAGTTTTAAGGTAATAAAATCGGATGTTAATCGTATATATTCCAGGGTAAAAAGATTTTATTTTAATACATAGATGAAATGCACAAATATTGACGGCTTTAGTCGGTCTAGTCTTTTAAAAACCGCAGAAAGTGCTAGACAAGAAGAATGGACACATAATGAGAGGAGTCTATTTGATTGACTCCAGTGCACTAAACTGTGCAGAAAGGAAGGTTGGAGGCTGTGGGAGATCATGTTGCACATTCTGTCACTTTCCTGTCATTTACCGTGTTTGTCCTAAGTTGTCACGCCCTCCAAGAGTTTACTGGAAGCTGGCGTGTGTCATAAACTTCCCCTCACCTTTGAATCTGTTTAATCATGGAACTGTTCATTGTTAGGTAATCATTTGAAACGAAAGGAGAACACTTCGTGGGTTTGAAAATCCCCAAAATGCTTTTTTGTCATCCACAACTTTTTTTAGAAGCCTTACACCTTTAATTGGTGTAACCCCTTGAGTATTTTTCTGGAGCATACATATTGTTGATATTTCCATCAGAGCTTAAGAAGTTGGTCGCAGGTTATTAAGACTAGTCAGTCATTTTAAACTAAATCAACCTTTATGAATTTAAGTAAAGGTCGAATCCAAGTGCAGAGAGGGATAAGTAAGTACGAGAAAATCCAATTTGGCAGGTAAAGCCCATGGAGTTGCCCTTTGCCGATTCAGAGCAGATTCCCTATCAATTGCTGCTCATAATGGTGACTTTTTTTGCTTTCCGTAAGGGAAAAAGTTCTTTTTCGTTTTCAGAGTCAAGTACTTGACTTATGCAGTGCTTTGTCTCAGAGAGAACTCGACCCCTCGCAGTACCGTGGGCAGAAATCGTGCAGTGACTAGAGCATTTTATAAACAATACCTGGGAGATAAAAACCCAGCTGTTGATTTGATTTCATTTTATTTAATCAAGTATTTTATTTTTTTGTAAATTTTCCTGGAGTAGAATTTTACTTGGCAGACAGATAAACATTCCCTCGCCAGCAATGAATATTATCATAATCAGACAGTTCTTATTATCTCTAAATATAACCGTTTAAATTTATATATAGACAGGCGACGTGGTGACAAGTTATCAGAAACCTTTTTCTGTGGGAAGGTTTATTGTGAGGAAAATGTATAAATGCTAATGATGCGACAAGTACCAACAAACGCCTTGGGGACGCCAACGTGGTCATTTATCTCTGCGTAGACGACATTCCTCCCGTTCCAAGATGAAGTATTTGCTGTTTGTGGTAGGTTCAAATATTGTAATACCGTATGGGGTCTCCCCCTCTATTTGTTAACTTAAATTTAAAACAGTATTGGAGCACTCGTCTACGCTTTCTTTCTAACAAATTTCAAAAACATTAATCCTTTAGTTTAAATATATCCCTTTCAGTTACTTCTGCTTGGCGCTTGCCTAGCAGCCAGCGCTGTCGAAGAGGCTGAAGGTGAAAATAGCGATCAGTTCGTCGACGATGGTGGAGAGGAGGTTCTGGGGGATCAGCTGGAGGGCCAGGAGGTCGAAAATGATCTTTATGACAAGGTATTATTTGATGTTTTATCTTTTAGGTAGTTATTGATACTTTGCTATACATATTTTTCTCATTTGAAGGCCCATGACTAAGAGACTAGAAAGGCAGTTTGAAATAAATATTTTTGGATTTGGTGCTTTCTGTTTTAGAGAAAGCGTATGGGGTATTTTATTGTATTCAGAAGAGTCTTTTTTCTTTGATAACCAGCATGAATATCATTCATGTTATATACCTGTTGAGCAATGTCATGGTTACGTTAATGTTGATACTTGCCTTGTTACCGATGCCAGAGGTGCTGCTTATATACATTTGAGTTTTGGTGACCAAAAGAGTAAAAGTCTACATGACTACAGGAGAATTAATTGTATTGTTAAATTTGTTTTGTTTGTTTCCTTTCTAATAAAAAAATATTTAACGTATATGCTTTAATCTTATTCACTCCAGAAGCATAACAATTCTTCCTTATCAATGATTCTTTTACAAAGGTCCTGACAAACAAGTTTATTTTGTACTAACTCGACACTTGAAGAGCTGCAAATATTTCTTTCTTTGCAGAAATTCTGTTCAGCATACTGTTCGGTGAATGATCAAGGCTTCGTATGTACTAAATTATAATTATTTATATTTCAGCACGACAGATATTCTGAAGGTAACATTTTCTATTTCCTTTTACACTCTCTACTTTCACTCTATTCCTAACCCCCTGCTATTGATCTGTGGTTTCTTCTTTTATTTCTTTTAGATCCCTGTCGATATTATAACGGTCAAATTGTCACGTTCAGAGTGTTGATTAAATAAAACAAATAATTAAATTGTTTAATAAAAGTATTATAGTATAAAGTAGTCAAAATACCTATTTTAAATTGCTGTATTTATTGAAAATTGAACTACAACGGATGGCTTCAAGATTTTTGACCTTCTTGTAGTTATGTCTATTTATCTTTCTGTTCATCATACTTGACTTCTCTTTCCTTAATGGTGTATATGCATACATATAAAATTGCTTGAAGTTTATTTGTATTCAATTTAAGGGGTATTGTTATTAAAACCATATGATATACTCTTGGAGCGTATTCAGAACAAATTGATCCGCGAACTAAAAGATCCGACCAAATTGAAAGCTTGCCGCCTAATCCGTCGTAGGGTATTAGGGGGTAAGCTTTCATGTGCAGCCACAGGCCTATTTGATCTTCGGGTCAACTTTAGGTTGCGTATGCGGCCTAGGTATTTGTACGTGAATAATATCGCCTTTCATTATTTAATCTATGTATACATATAGACTCGTCATATCAGCAGTGCAAAACGAATAGGATTTAAAACTTTAAGATTCATTTTCATGTTCTTTCTTCAGGCTTGGATCGCCGTGGATTGGGCGACTTGCCTGCTATTGTTATTGGTAAAATTAGGCAGTTGGTAGAGGAATGTGACGCCGGTGTCGCTCTCAACAAGGGAATCGGACTTTTGTGCGCATGTGATTTGGTAAGTACGAGTATAATCTCGGCTTTTACTTGATTTATCTTAGGCAAAATTACATTGTGATGCCAATAGCGAATAAGAATTAATGGTTCATTGCATGTTATGTAAACATTGTGGAGTAAAGGTAAAGCATGTATAAACGGCTAGTTTTGTTGAGCATTGTTACATTTTGCGTTAGACTTTTATATAACAATAAAAAAGTACAGGGAATTTTTAAAAAATCATCAATGTACCAAAACTGGTGATAAAAATTACGGTTTACTACTCGGCACCTCATCACGTGTTTAAGGGACCATTCCCACAGATATTTGGATCGATCTATCTCCTTGGGGAGTCTCACTAAATTGCTGTCAACATGGCCGGCTTATATGTCTAAACTCAGATTTGCCTCACATTATTTGTTTGTCTACTTGACTAGGTCTGTGAAAGCAACAGCTGCAGAAACTTCCAATGTGGTCAGTGTACGATCGGATCCTGCAGTTCAGGCCATTACTGCGCTGCTTTCCCCTTGCTCAAAACCTCTCGATGCGAACCGAAAAAAGATTGTGGAAGGGGGTGCACAAGCAAACGCCAGTGTAAAAGCGGGCGTTGTCGCTGGTTTAAATGCAAATGTTAGAGAAATCGACTCACGGGAGAATAAAACCTTGAGAACCGCATAAACCGATCCCGTGATAAATTATGATACAAAAAAAGCTGATGCAGAATTATGAACTTTACTTCAATAATGTATTGTTTCACGAATTTATAGTCTAACAGCTGGATTACTTTCAATGTTCCGCTACGATGACAACTTAATGAGAATTGTGCAAACATACCTGGACATTCTAATAAAATCTCAATCAGCAAGAGCGTTTTTCCCTGTCGTTCGCTTTACATAACTTTGCATCATATTTCTACGGCTCTATAAACCGAACAATTTTCATACTAGCATTAAAATAAAAAAAAATTCAGTTAAATAATTTATTTCCCATTAAAAAGACAGAAAAAATCATGAAATGAAACGCAATTCAATTTTGATTAGATTTTTAATATGCCCCACTTTCTTTTCTTTGCTCTGCCACTTTTGTAATAAAAGAGATACGATCTCGCCTGGGTGTTAAAAATATGAGAACATAACAAAATTACTATTTGATTTACGAGTTACCCCCATTTACTAGATCTAGCAATAGACCCATGATGATAAAGCAATGATGATGACCACACTGACCACCATCACAAATGCATTAATAATTTTTGGGAAAAAAATGTCACAAAATCTGCTTCAACAAATGCCAGCGACTTCCCATAAGGTGCTAACCATTCATTGATTTACAATGACAATTTAATGATGACAATTTAAGGAAGAAATGTGATACAACATCATTACATTCACTTGAAGGTCGAAGGCCCACTGATATTTATATGTCAATTTGTTTGGGGGGGGGGAGGTATGCAATTTTGTGTGGTCAGTTGATTTGCCTCCAGAACAAGTGATCATTAAAGCTTTTTATGTTCACAATTTTGATGTAATTAAATATAAAAAAAAAGAAATTATATCTGATCCCCAATTATGTTTGACATAAACTTTTATCCAATAAGGAGACACATAATGTGTTGACTACTGTATAGTTTGTTTTAAGCAATAAGCATAAACTGAAATTAAGTTAAAATTTTGCATCAAATAAATGCCAAATTTTCACCTTAGCTTTTGTCAAGTGATACTGTATCAAACACTACATTTGAAGTGATGTGATGAAAGCTAATTGCCCAGCGCGGTGTAATGTGTTGTTATGCCTGTAATTCAGTGTAGATTCGTTAGATGTAACGAGGACATCTGAAAACATTATCTTCCCATACTTACGAGCCAAAGGCATCATAAAGAAGCATTTGTAATTTGTAATATTTGTAATTGATATTATATTAAGATCTAATGAAATAAAAAGGGGTATAAATGCAAATCGTAGCCTACTTTTGTTCTTTGTCATTGCATGTGTAGGCTACATCATATCTTTTACGTAGAATATTGAAAGAATAGAATGTTAGTGAATGAAAAAATAAAATTTATAAAGTACCTTGCAGGGGATGAAATCAAATACCGTGAAGGCGTGAATCACACTGCCTTATTCATATAGACCATAATCCTTTGCGCGCAACAGGAGTTCCGGTATTTTTTTCCCATATCAAATCTATAGACGCGCGAATAAAATGCCGTACAGGTAAGTGAAAAATGATTATTTAATTTCAAATAAAATAGATATGGGTAAAACTAATATTTCTCCTCATGATTATCACATTTTGCAATGAAATTAGTCATTTTTTAATAAAGTTTTTTTTATTCAGACGATAGGCTGACTTGGAGCGCATTTGCGCACCGCAGTGTGTTAGATGAGGAGAAATATGAATAAGGCGAATGCTGTAATTTTAAGGTAATGAAATTAGATGTTAATCGTATGCATTTGAGGGGAAAATGAATTTCATACATAGAAGATAAAATGTAAAAATTTTGACAGCTTTTGTCGGTCTATTTTTTTAAAGCCGCAGAAAGTGTTAGATAAAAAGCATGAGCACAAGTAATGAGAGGAGTCTATTTTGTTGCCGCCAGGGCACTTAACTGTGCAGAAAGGCAGGTGGGAGGCTGTGGGGGATCATGTTGCAAACTCTGTCACTGTCCTGTCATTTACCGTGTTTGTCCTACGTTGTCACGCCCTCCAAGAGTTTACTGGAAGCTTAGATGTGTAATAAACTTCCCCTCACTGTTTTATCATGGATCTATTCGTTAGGTTAGGTAATGAAAGGGGCATGCTTAAAGATACACTCCGCGGGTTTGAAAATCCCCAAAATGCTATTTTTGCCATCCAAAACGTCTTATAAAACCTAACATATACCTTATATGCTTTAACCTCTTAAATATTTTTCTTTTAATATTTCCATTGGAGCTAAGAAAGATTGTCGCTGTTAATAAAGACTGGCCAGTAAATTTATAGTAAATCAATCTTCATAAATTTAATAAACGAATCCAAGTGCAATGAGGCATAGATAAATGTTTGTGAGTACTAGAAAATTGATTATTTCCCCAGTAAAATCCGTTTTGGCAGGTAAATCCCATGGACTTGCCCTCTAATGATTCGGAGTACATTCCCCATGCTGCTCATAATGGTGACCTTTTTTATGTACAGACACAGATGTGTCTGTACATATAGCCATCATCTGCGTCTGTCGTCGCCGTCGGCGGCGCCGTCGTCGCCGTCGTCGCCGTGCACTTTTACCGATAACACGATAAGTGGAAAACCATTTTACCTTTTGCCTTGAAACTTACAGAACTGATGAATATTCATAATACGCAGGTCAAGTTCGAAAATCAGCATGATCGGGTCACTTTTAGGGAATTTATGCTGTTTTTTCACTTTTTTCAGCATATATGCAGCACCGATAACACGATAAGTGGAAAACCATTTTACCTTTTGACTTGAAACTTACAGAACTGATGAATATTCATAATACGCAGGTCAAGTTCGAAAATCAGCATGATTGGGCCATTTTTAGGGAATTTATGCTGTTTTTTCACTATTTTCAATATAAAT